AACTAACTATCCATTAAATATCAGTAAACTTCTTTGTACACTTAACGAAATCATCATAACTCTAACACATCCTCATACTTGGTATGTTATTCTTACAATCTCCCGAGCCAATTCAATTACAGCTACATAGCTAGAAAGAAGTTGAACAATTTAAAAAAATACCTTTGCAACAAAACAATACAGAATATTTTGTTGAATTTGTTGCGTACGGCGACTGTAACCTTTCGCCCTTAGAAATTTCTCATCCTTTATCCTTCTGAGTACAAGATGGCGAAGACAAACTTGGAAAGCTGTCTGTTTCGAGACTTTCCTCTTGAGGAACCTTGTAGACGAAGATTGACTGTGTTTTGTGGGTAAATATATCTCAGACTGTCGCAAAACTATTCTTGGATATTAATGAGTCAGGAGAGTGATCACTAATTGTTGATAGTAATGTGGATTGGTGCAGCTTAGCGTGTCGCCCTTAAGGCTGGCACGCCTGTATCCAAGAAGGACAAGGAGAAGAATCATCACTTTACCGAGAGACCCTTTTTTTTGCATCAGATTTTAATTGCGTATGCCGCTATCTAGCTATGACACAATATCAAAGAAAATTACAGAGAAGATGACTCAATTTAGAAGAGGAGCACTCATGCCTCAAATTTCATTTGCAAGTACCACTGCGAAGTCATGGTAGCTTTTTCTTCACCCCAAGTCAACCCTCATCCGTGAATACCCACCCAGGGAAACGTCTCGATATCGAGAGACCCATTGCGTACGTGTACACGTGTATATTACCGACCGACACAGTCAGAAACATTCTATAGAATTTAGAACATCAGTAGTTGCAGTGTCAGTTATTTCATACAAGTATTACACTCACACTGACGGTTTGATCTAGCCACGTCATTAAACACAAGTATGAAACTTTCACGGTTATTGTCAGAATTTAGAATGATTCGGGCTATCAAGTAGACCACGTTGTTGATACACACGTGACTGCAAATTCTGTACTTACTTTCACTTCGGTAATTACTTGAATCAATGCGCTCTACAACCTCAATGACTGAGGGGTCGTTATTTCCTTAATAGTTATTACATTTTTGTGTTCCATGTTACCAAAACTTATCGCCTTCTAACAATGTTTATATTGCATGGGCAGTGAAAGTATTTCACTGCTAATTGATTAGTGTTGATATATAAATGTAAAGTTTCCTGACGTATGATAGATATTGGTGGCTGGTATCATAGCCTGATGTGTTTTTGACAACCTGCAACACTTTCTCCACGACGTGAACCTACTACAGGACAAGTTTGTATTACTTCTTCTCTACTTTCAAGCCTGCAGCGATAAATTGGATTTTATCTACGTAGTAACGGGATTCTCTGCAAGTTTTGAAGCATTGACACTCCGTCTTCACAGGTGAAAGTGATCCAAATGACCAGTATCCGGTTGGGGGACTTTCGTGGATGATATTCCATATTACCCGAGCACTGAACGAAAGATGGTTTGGAGTCATTTAACAGGCAGAGTCGATTGAAGTATTTAGGTGCACAACGATGAAGATTATCTACTTGGCACAACAACTGAAAAAAGAGTAGAGAATAAGTAGATCAGAATACTTCTGAACATGGACCTAGATCAGAAATACATGACTGTCGTAGTCTTGCGAATGGGTCCCGGGTAATGAGATGGTAGATCTCTGCACTACAACATCTAACGGAGATCAGTGCTGTATCATGTTGCTAGCTCCATAGAACTGAAAGAATTGATCAATGGTCTTGCCACTACCCAGCGAGTTGTTGAGTCTCAGCTTCTCATCGCACAATTAACTAGCAGGTTTTTTGCCTGCATCTTTTCATGGGCTGCTCACGTTACCTCAGCGCCGCTCAATTTTCCTATGGATCAAGTCGTATTCCGGTTGGTAGAGGTGGGGTTGATTGACAACGGCGCATCGCGTTACAAGGGAGTTCAAAGTTTATTTTGTGAGGGAGTCTTGGATTACCAGACTCCAGTGAGGTCATTGGTGTTCTTAATTCCATTCATCGGTGTGATTTCAGCCAAACGACCTGCTGTAATGAGATCACCCGGATGTTGTCACGGACTCTTGTTCCGGCAAGCATCCAAACATGTAGCTCAAGCAATACAGTCTCATGAGCTAGCGAGCCGATTTAGGACAGGAGAGCCCTGCACTACATGGTAATTATGCCGAGATGTAACTTTCAGGAACCGAAGCCGCCGACCGGCCGAGTGGTTCACTGGTACCCTACTCGAGCTCATCTCCCGCGAAGTGCCTCGATAGCTGGAGTATCTTTCCACTTTTAGATAGGAGATCACGAATGACACCCCAGTAGTACCAGACCTCACAACGCAGCTATTGTGTACGGTATAGCAAAGGAATTATTGTTTAATTAAAGCTATTGAAACTGTAGTGAATCCTCACGAATGTCGACCGTGTGTTCAAAGCAAGCATGCTTGATGGTGGTCCAGGAGAGCAAAACATCGAGCCTAAATATCACCCAAGACAGAGAAATCATTCAACGCAGTACGGGACACTCATCGCTCGTCATGGCCAGACAAGTGAACATGCAGAAAATGAATAGGATAAGTAGAGTACGCCGACAAGGGGTATAAACACTATTTGCATCAAGAGCATGAGCCACCCCCACAGCCCCTGCCCATCTCAGAATTTGTCGGATATATGCAGTCGAAATAATCATTCTCGTCTATATGCTTGTATACTGTAATCTAAGGCGCATGCACAAGCTCAGGCGCTGTCTAATAATATCGTTTGCATTTCTTATCATTGGTCCCGCATCCATAAAGTACATGCATACAGGCCATTGTCCAGGCTTTCGTCATGAATTTAAATCAAGAAGCTCATTGGTCTGTTTCCCGAAATAATCACACCCGGTAAGCTAGATTGTGAACAAACGTTTTTGAAAACCCTACCGCTTCTTCCACCCAGACAAACGAATGTTTCTCATCTGAGTTTCCGAAATGGGATGAACTCTCTTTGCAGATCAAAGATAATAAACAACACGCGTTACAGTCCCCACATGTTTGCGACAGAAAATACGTAGGAAAGCTCGACACCACGACTCATTCAATTCCATTTACTCGCCTAAACATAACCAAATATGTGGAGCCATGTACTGGGCCATTAGCAACATGCCAGCCACTTGCACTCACTCGATTCTCGTAAAAAGATACGTTTTCGACACTTCTACGACTTTGACCACTCACTCGCGTTTGTGGAACCTCAATCGATCTTCGATAGGTTACAAGTTTACGATAAACTTCAAACCCCCTCGTCTACAGTTATCAGAAAATTCTGCATTCAGAAAAATACTCTGCCTCAACCCTGTATTCGTTATGACACAACAATTTATGTGATAAATGACAAGTTTATAACATTGACTCACAGGAACATGTTGATGGTGAGGAGTTTGGTGATTATGTGGATTGATTTAACCGTGAAATAGGCAACTAAAACTATAGATCTGTCATTTGAGCGGCCCAGTGAGATGCTTACGAGGAAAACTATTCATATTGGGTTCATGGTGCATTTTGCAAGGAGAACGTGGGAACAGGGAAGGAGTAACAAATATGCAGTCCCTGAACCCGTGAGTGTGCAGTGGCTGAGCTTGAGGAGGATCTAGCGTAGAGGCGCGACGCGAAGAGGGTCATCGATGGCCTGACATGCCGTGAACCAGCAAAGACGGTCTCGAGAGGTCCGAGACTGCTTGACTTGATTCAATGCTTGTCTATCTATGACCAACACAAGGAGGAAGCTGTGCTGGGGGGGGGGGGGGGGGGGTTGGAAGAATTTGACTACTCCAACCCATCTCTAGCCGCGCTATCCCAGGACGTGAAATGAATATTAACAAGGGCCTTGGCACATGGTCGGGGCGCGAAGACGACAGGCACACAAGATGTGCACGGGGTCTGGATTTGGGAGAAATTCTAGGTTGCCGTTGGAAATATGTGGATACTAGGAATCATCTTGGCATAGCACTTGCTACATTTGAACGCTTTCTTTCCGGGCCTCGAGACGCTGGCATGGGAATAGAGATTATTCATAGATCCAGACAAGGGAATGCTCAAGAGAGTATGACGCGAGTTACTTGCTAGCTATCGCCGCGTCAACAGAAGCTAGGGTAGAGCTGCCAGTCTCTTTGTTTCGACCATTCCGTCTGCAACAAGGGGGCAATGAAAGGAGGACACCTGTGTCTAAGTCGCAACTGCCATTAATGGCAATGCCACAACGCGGCTAGCGGGTACTTGTGCGTGGGTCTGCCGTCTTGGAGCTTTGTGGATCATCAAGGTCCATCTGCCCAGGAGAATTTGATCTTTCACTCGTAAAAATGATTATGTTCCTACCCATCTCGTTTCACCAATTATCTGCGTGAAACTACTGATCTGCGAGCCGCTGCATGATGGTCACATGGCTGCATCCAGCGATTGGCACACGACAATCCGACGAACCATCACAGCCATGTTTCCCCGTCTGCGCAAACCAGCGCTTCAGACTCCCAAGCGCCCGGACCTAATTGAGTGCCAGGAACGGTGACGAGGAATTTCACAGATAGCAGACTACCAGCTACGTGAGTCAAATGAGAAACAAATTGATTTGTTCGGTCGCGGCGGCAGAATGTATGTCATGACACATTCCACGGCGGGTTCCATTTCCAGAGGTAAGCGCAGAATGGACAGGCGTGTACAACAAGGCGCACGACCGCAAGAGCTAAACTCCTGCCTGGACGACAGAGCTTGCCGCGTCTTAACGGATAGTGATTGCAGATGACTGGACGTCTAGCGATCATATTAGTGTGGCTCCCCACAGACATCCCCCGGGTTATATAGGCCTGCATAGAATTGTCTTGCGGCCTTTACCTACTATCCATCCAACCCTCCTTTGCTATATCACCATCTCGCACCCACACATAATCTCCTCAAAGGCATCGACGGTCTCTCACCTACGACTGTTCATCCTTCACCTCCAAACCTAACCAGAATCATGCAGTTCATATACCTCGCTGTCACAGTAGCCCTCACAAACTATGCTGTAGCACAGTCGGTCGCAACTGGAATGCTCGGAAATGCAACAGTGGTAGAAGACAACCCGCCCGGAGTTACCTATACAGCCTCTTTACCAAGTATGAACCTAAGTAGTCAAAATAATTCACGAAGTAATATAATGGGATCCGTTACCGCTACAGCCAATCCTGATGGGATCGGTGTAATGTTTAATGTTAGCTTCTCTAACTTACCCACCACGGGTGGCCCTTTTGGTAAGATTCTCCCAAGATTCTAAGACTCGCGTGCCGATAATCTTCTAGCTTATCATCTTCACGTCGCACCTGTGCCTTCAGATGGAAACTGTACCGGCACTCTGGGACATCTAGACCCATTTATCCGTGGTGAGGAATTAGCATGTAACATGTCGCTACCTCAGACATGTCAAGTTGGGGATCTTTCTGGGAAGCATGGAAAAATTACCTCGGATCCTTTCAAAGCTAGCTACAGCGAGGAATTCGCATCGACCACGACAGGACTCGGCTCCTTTTTTGGAAATCGATCGATTGTAGTTCATTCCAGCGATAAGACTCGTATTGCATGTGCCAACTTTACCCTTGCTGGTGCTGTTGGAGATGAAATGAGTAACACTACAAACGGGACCTATGGCAATAGCACCGATGGAAATGGAACTGACAACACCTCACCAATTCAATTTGAAGGGAACGCTAATCAAATAGGCATTACTTATGTTATTGCATTAACGACCCTGATACACCTCGCCCTAATGGCTTGAGCCTTACAATTTTAACCTCATATGACCAAGGAACGACTGTGTACGATTACAACCTACGCTCGCTATGGGATATTATTTTACAGAGATGCTGGCCCTCTATTATACTTTCCGGAAAAAAACACTGGCGACTTATGCGCACCATTAATTTAATGACACGGGAAATATTATCGCTTGAACAGAAAATATAAGATTTACATTAATTTTGTCAACTAAAAATTGGAGTCAGAATGGAAAAATATGTCTAGGAAGACACAATTAATGGCCATAACATCTGTCACGAAACCTAGGCAGCATACTCCGGAATTAATAATTACTGAGGAATTTAATATTGGGTATTGAATGTTGTATTCTGATCGCGGGTTGGATAGGACACTGGATGATCGGATACACACACTTATTCTCTTTCCATTGTATGGATTTATATTCTTGTATTTATGCCTTTAAATCATGGCTTACGAATGCTTATCCCAGTGGGAGAAGCTCAATACGTCAGATAAATGTAACTAGTTGAGATTTAAAGATTTATTTCAATTTTTTTCCCGCGACTCGATCTTGACAAGGGGCAATAGTAACATCAGACGAAAGTGTTAGGCTCGACACGACTCCGATCCGCCGGGTCGGTAACTACCCATTCAAATCTTAGATCGGCATAGTGTGGATAGAAATCTGATTGCCGACAACACTTCGGGTCGCTTCAAATAATGACGATCCCGCTGGAGGTATAGCCAGAACTTGTTTCCAGCCCCCCTGATCGTCGCACATGGGTAGTTGGTAGCTTGTCAAAGGTACCCGGCTTGAGGGATGAGCACGTATTCTGCGAGATGGTAACTTGCATAGTGGCGAAAAGCTGCGGCGCCACTACCGAGGTAAAACAACTCCAAGGCAGAAGAATTAGTGCTATGAAGAGTGTGGCCCTACCACTATTCAGGGAGGTGGCGTAAGATCTGCCTGTTTAGGGTAACCAATTCTACTAAGTTTGTTGGCTACTGGCCCTGCACTAAAACTGAAATTTTCTCCTCATTTTCTTGAGGCCTAGTGACCAACATTATATTTCTCATCCGCGTATGGCGGGTTATCATAAATTACTCATTACAGGTTCAGAAATTAAGCATGGCCATTATGAAGCAAAGGTACATATCCTCAACCCCTCTAGAACTAGCCATACACCAAACTAGACACCCAACGCCTTGGGAAGCTTGCACTCCTTCAGACCGATTCTACGGTGCTTTAGTTGGTACATAAAGCGTCGGGTTAGATTATTGCGATGGTAATCGAGGCTGCGCACAAATTATTTCCAGTAATACTTGAACAGGATCAGCTTCCCGGGTAAAAGCTTAACGAGAAGGCTGTCCTTGGCCTACGACTATTCGCCATGCGCACCGAGCTATACCATGATCAGATGTTTGAAACAAGATATTTGGGTTGTCAGCCACATCGGCTGTAAGGAGTTGGGGACAATGAGGTGAGGCGCGAAGACCTCTGGAAGGCATGCTCTCGACGGCGTATTCGGACGATGACTGAATTTTTTCAGCTTATGGAGCCAGACTTTAGAGCTGGCCGAGACACACGGAGCTGGGATAAATTCGGGGGTTTAATATATGGATTTACTGATGCCTAGGGTAGCTAGAGGAGGAGTGCTCGATCATCTTCGGCGGGTGGTAGGTCGGTGGATGCGTACCGACTGTAGTCTAGGATGAAGAAAGTATTTTCTTGTGGAGAACTAAAGGTGATAAAGAAGTAGCTGGGCTGAGCATTAAATACAGCGCAGGTTCTTGTGAAAGCCAGAAAAAAAAAGTGGTAAAGCAATGCGGGCACGCGTCAAACTTATCTACATGGTTGTGGCAGTATCGTTAAAGGGAGGTGATGGCAACAGCGTCATGACTGACCATCAGGCTAGAAATAAGGGGGTAACTGTAAAATTTTAGACAGTCTGCTTCTACAATGCAGTAATGGTCTTCGAAGGCCCTGATCGATGATTTGGAGTGCCCTCATTATTACGAGTGATCAAGTAGAGCTTCTGATTTAATAAATCAGTTTCTTCGCGTTATCAGGCGCCTACTGCTGAAAGAAGAAAGTTCTGTAGTCGTATTAGAAACGAGGCACTAGATGATGAAGGATGGAATGAGATTGCGCTGTCGACGTGGGTAGTTGAGGATGAGAGTAGATCAGCCTATACCTGGTCGGCAAGTTAAGGGCTAGCTAGGGCGTCTCGAGCCGACGGCAATGCCGTGTGCCCAGCATCGACTCAGCCATAGCGAGACGGACCTCGTGTCGGAGACTCTACTATTACCAGCTGAAAGTCAGAGTTTTCCAATCAGGGCGACCAATGTCGGAGGCTTCGCTCGAACCCGATAATGGCACCCGATCTGCCAGGATTGCCTACCCGTCTCCTGAGCCTCGTCTCTGTTACCTGGTTTAACCAGAAGCAACGCAGTTGTTTGAGACTTTGAATAGTCGAACAAGACGGCTAGAAAGGAAAGCTTTGTGGCTGTAAGATGCGGGCAACCGGGGCCGGGTCTGGCAGCATGTCATGGTACTTGTGATTCCCGCTTGTGGTCCGATCTATACATCACGTGACTCATAATTATTCTGCTTTACTGTGTCATTGGCGCCAGCGCATAGATGAATTATAAACTAGTGACTAGTTGCACAATGGGCTAAATTGTGCGACATCAAATTGAATATTCCCACCCGCACTTCGTTCTTGGAAACCTCTCATCAACGTGAGACTCCGTTCCGACGAGCCTCACCCGTGATACAGCGCTCGGCCCGTGAGATTCGGTCGAAGAACATTTCTAGGTCTTGGACTCACTATCATTGAACATGATGAGGACTCATTGGCTATTGCTGTAGTGGTTGACGCTCCCGTGTGAATATTGGCGTTGGTAGAGAAGCTGTGGGGAAATTTACGGATATTAGTCACGCAGTGTTAGTGCGGCGTTGGGGTTTACTTCCGTTGATTATTCCTGTTAGATACAGAGATAGAGATCTACGTTTTGATCAATAACCATTTTGCCCAATCTTTGTGCTAGCACTGTAACTAGAACCGGTGATAAACCGACAGCTCCTTCTGTGATGGGCCAGGACTTTTGGCTAATGCACGAAAGCAATGCCACAATTAAATGTTTATATTTTCAGAGGAGTCTAGGAGCTGGAAGCTACGGCGCTTTGTAACCTTAATGCCTGTTCCAGATTCCCCGGCCCTTTACACGTGGTCTGATATTACTCCCGTATAATGAGTAGATTTACATACTTGCTTGCGCTTTTGGTTCGTTCTGCATCAGAATTTTATTGCGTATACAAATGTCTAGCTACGACACAATATCAAAGAAAAGTATATATTAGATGACTCTATGTAAAGAAAGAGCACTCATGCCTCGGATTTCACTTGCAAGTACCACTGCGAAGTTATGGTGGCCTTTTATCCACCCAAAGCCAGCCCTCATCCATAAATGCCCACCCAGGGTAAACTTTCCAAAACTCTAAGTTATCCAGATATGCCTCCATCATCCATTTGCTTTTCTCCGCGCGAAATGTGGTATAGGCGTCTCCTTCCCAAGTGAAGTTGGTGCCCAGGCTACTTCAACCATACCGGAGAACTATTGAAAGAAAAAGGAACACTGAAGGCAGAGCGGAGAAGAGTGAATTGATTATTTGTGTATATATAAAAAGGTATAAATCAAGACCATAGAAAACGTCGTGAGAATATCATCAAGTAAATCAGTGAGAAGCAGTGAGCTATTATTTACGCTGTGTTCTCTTGTCATAGAAGTAGAGCCACACAAATACCTGTTCATGCAAATCTTACAGGGGAGACGGGACTAGAGTTTGAATCGTGGATGTAGGGATTGCGTTGGGAACCCTTACGTAATGAAGGTAATTGTTTGTATGTGAGTGTGTGTTTATTGAACTACTTGAGTCTATGACTATCTAGCACATTGGGCTCCCCTCTGACCTAGTCCACACCTTGTACAGTGCTCCTATCCTCTTTTGTTACTTGAAAGATCATTGATATACTGCCCGTGATGGATAGCCATTCAGCTCAGTTTTTACCCGTGGAATTCAGTCTCCTTTTCCACGGAACCTTCTACGCAAATAAAGAAAAGTGGTAGCAATGGAAACTGCGTGCGCGGGAAAAAGTCTCAAAAAACCTGTAGACCCAGCCAGGCGAGGCCTAGACACCGGGATCACATGAGGTGCGCATATTTATCTATATCTCCATTCTTTGTAACATTTGGGGTCGACTTGATCCAATCCACCATCTCCGTATCGGGTGCTGGGTACGCTCTGGAAACTCATCGGATGGCATCTCCTCCATGATCAAGGGTAGGTGCTAAGAAGAGCTTCGACGCTGACATCTGATCTGATCGTGGTTAGCTTCATGATTATGGTAATAGGGGTATGTGTTGAGTGATGAAGACTATACAGACGGCGAAAGCGATTGGGAATCCTTTTCGAAGTGAGGACTTTGTTACTCAATCTCGGCTCTGCAGACTCTATAGTGGGAGCTGGAGGTTCGTAGGGGACACTACTGACAGGTGTTGAGAATAGTCCCCCGAAGGTAATCGTTACTAATAGGATTATACTTCATTTCCCAACAAGAACATCACCAGGAGGCGGACCACGGCACCTTCCATCGTTTGCTTGTTTTTTTTAATTTTTTTTTTTATCTTTTTATAGTGTCAGCTGTACTCTCGCATTCGAAGTATTGGCGCGCACACAGCTCGATTCGTGAAACTCCTTGCCAAAATTCAGAGTTTCATGGCCTTTGAGGTTACATACTTTTTTTTTGCACCATCCTGTAAACTTATCCCGAATTCTCTCTCGCTCATCCCAAAGAACTGTCTCCCAGATTTGTGCACCACGCTTTGCTTCCTCCTTTTGGTATAAATATCGGCTGAGGCCAGAAAAACTCGAAGATAGGTGTGATCATTGGAATAAGGATGTACTTGGTCGTACTTGTAGACTTGATGAGGTGTTGGCGGGGATCGATCTCGTTG